GCTTGGTTCCTTTCTCTCCTCCTCTCATTTCCCTCCAGCCGCCCCGCTCCTCTATTTACCCACCTACCCCTTCCTTCATCCCTGTTCTTTATACTTTAATAGGCTGTGTTGATGCGTGTAACAGTGGAGTAATCACATATGGTGCAGGGCACACATAAAGATGTGCTCCCACTGGTAGCAGCTGCTGATACTAGCTGAAAACCGATCCCTGGTATGCTCAGCAATTTTCCTCCAGCAGCTTTGCTGTTTATCAGCAGCCATGGATGCAATTCTTTTTAAGTTTCTGCCACACCATCAGCACAACTGCTCGCTCTGTTTCTAGGAGTGTGAGAGCCTGAAGTGAAGCTGTTTTAGGATTGTACATCAGGCCTCTGCTTATCTGTACGCTGTGACTGTCAGTCCTCAGGATTTAATAAGAAGAAGCTGCAGTGGAGAAAAACAAGTCACACACTGAGGTCAAAGGAATTAAAATGATTATAGATATAAGACAGATGTGACTGAAGTAATGCTCTTTTTATCCAGTGTAATAACAAAGAAAGCTTAAAAGAAATAGGTCAGTATGTTTGAACGTGTTTTTCTCAGCTGCTGCCGTCAGTATCTGACCTGCTGCCTAATATTGCCTTTAGGCCGTTGCCTAGGGCCCCAAGTTCCTGGGGGCCCCACAAAACTCTGTTTACGTGTATGATTGATATAACTATTCCTTATCTGTGCACAATGGTATGTTTCATGTTATGCTATGTTTTTGATAAAAATCCTTTCTCTAAAATGTCATCAGAACGCTGATAATATTAAGTGTGTCTCAGCCCCCCCCTTCAGTGTCCACCATATTGGATCAGTCCATTTGCTGCACATGTTCAGAAAGGTCCAAACAGACAGCAGCAAACCATTTGAAAACAAACCATGCAAAGAGCAGTGTTGCCAGCTTAGCGCTTTAGTCGCTATATTTAGCCACTTTTCAGACCCCTCTAGCACTTTGATTTCTAAAAAGCTCCTAGCGCCAAATCTAGAGACTTTTTTCTGCTACTGGAGACTTTGGAGACAACATCTAAAAGCAGCGAACTCTGCTCTCCAGAGCGAGTAGATTGGTAACCCCGCCTCCTGCTCTCCTCTATCTTGTCTGCTGTCATGATTCATGCAGCTATTATTTCATCCAAATGAAAAATGGAGAACAGAGAAGCAGATCATGGCTTGTCTACAGTGAAAAGAAGGACTGGGTTATTTACTTTGGCCTTTTTGGAAACACAGGAAGGAGCAATCAGCTAAGTGAGCTTAGTGCTTGGAAAAAATCTTTCATTCCTTTAGAGACAGCATGAAAAGTCAGCTGAGTACAAAACATAGAGAGGAAAACAAGAAGAAAAGGGACAAGAAGAGAGGGACACAACCTAGAACAGATAATGGATGTCTATTCTATTAACAGTTCTCTATCTGGATAATGGGGCTGTTTTATGTGTTGTCTTCTCAATTCAGAGGGCCCCCTGCCTGCCTTTGCCTAGGGCCCTAAATTTCCTAAATCCGCCCCTGCCTACAGTACAGCAGTCCCACCAGACTGGATGTACAGCAGGAGAACGATCACAGTCACCATCATTACCTAGTGGTTTATGCAAACACTGGTCGACCAAGCTCTGTTGTGATGTCATTTAGAGTTCATACAGTGGAAGACCATGACTACATCTGCTCATCCAGTGCATTGCTTTAAAACCAGAAATACTTTGATTAAATAAACTGGGGTAAATACTGTAGCATGTTAGGCATGGAAGCAGATTACCTTCTCGTCTAATGAAAAAGTATTCATCCATTGATCATTAAAAAAAGCTCATAGTTTCATGAAACTTTTTTAAAATAAAGAGAAATGCATAATTAGCTAGCTGACCTTTTTAGGGTATTTTAATGAATAAACCCTACATTTAATGATCATGTTCATCAGGCTGTGTAACAAAATCAAAGATAGTATGTAGATGTTCTGGCTCTACATACTACGGGTATCAGTGATCTGCTGCGCTCATCATCGCAGCAGATTGTCCAGTCAAAGCCCCAACATCCCCCTAATCCATCCCACCCAGGACACCCCCTCCCCCCACAGATACAGATAGAGTCAGCAGCTTCCTCTGAACAATGATGTGTGCTGGGCTGCCAGTGGATCCATTAGCTAGAATAAAGCCCAGGGGGGCGGGGCATTCACAGCACAAAGTGAGGAATGATGTTTTACGATGTTTTAATCACATGATCAAACACATTTAAAGTGGAAAATTTGGAAGATTGACTTTATGTAGAATTTATATATTTTTATAATTATAGATTATGATATGATATAATACAATATAATATAACATAATATAATATTACTGACTGATGAAGTCAGGTCATGAAATGTTTTTGTTTTTATATTTACTTTGTTTTTCTTTCCCAGAGATTCAATCAGGTATTAATGGATAGTCATGGGATATATTAGCTGAATGCTAAGTTCACAGAGTTAAAAGCTCTGGGCCTTATTACAAATATTGTTCAGCCATGCACCTCTGTGTTTGGGGGGTTTAGAGTCCTGTTATACTCCATACAGCCTAAATAACCAGAGACGATGTAAAGAAAAGAAAAAATAATAATTCAAAATAAAATCTAACATGTTTTTGGGGTTAAATAGCAAACCTGTTTAGGCCTGATGATATCAAAAATCCTTTGTACCCGTGGAGACAGAGACCTTTGCTCCACTACTCCTGCTGCGTTCAAACAGCAGGGTCAATAAAACCAGATTCTGCTTCTCATCCCAAAATAACGTCTCTACAGCACTCAGCCCCTAAGAGGCAAGAGGACAAACCATCCTGTAGGAGCTCCAAAGTATCCCAACTGAAACTGTAGTGGGGATGGAGTATACAGCCTGCTCCCAGCAGATTAACCTCCATCTTGGACTTCTTTCTCTCCTCTCCTAAAGGCCTGGTTAGCTTGTTGCAGATATTTCTGATTTATGCCCAATATTGAAGCGTTGTCTGCGCTGTTATTCCACACCACAACACAACAGGGACAAACAGGAAGTAGCTAGGATCGTGGGTGTCTGTAAGTCGGTTTAATGAGCTTGGCGCCGTCTACAACCCCTCATGCAACGCCGGACGACGCACAGTTCACCCGTGAGTGTTCCCCAAAGACTGGCCGTGGCAATGAGTGCTTTGGATTCGGCTGCAAACCAGTAGACCGTCGCACAGAGCTACAAACTAGCGTCCTGCACGGTGTCTGGGATAGTGTCAGAGGTGTGCCAGGCGCTGTGGACGGCACTACAGCCAGAGTTTCTGCCATTAGGTACCAAAGAGTAAATAAACATAGTGTGGGGCGGATCTAGGTTTGACCAATCAGAGTCTGGGGCACTGTCTGCCGTCACCTACAATTTTGGGGAGTTGCACCAGAGTGTCTGCGGAGGGGGATATCTGCATTAACTGCGACACACAGCAGACGACCTGGTGTCTGAGCATAAACCAGGCTTTAGATCTTCTTTTTTGTTTGTTTATTTGTTTTTCTGCGTCCTGTTAAACAATAAAGCTCTGGGAATAGATGTCCCAGAGCTAAATGATAGCCCAACAGCTTTGCTTTCACAAGCAGACCAGTACGACTGCTGCCATAAGGTTCTGCTTGATACCTGTATACAAAACTTTATTGAACATTATTTGGGGAGTAAAATGGTATACGAGAGACACAGAAATGGAGATGAGAAATAAAGAGATAGAGACAGAAAAGAGTGCATGAAAAAAAATAAAACTGCAAAAACAGACAGAAGATATACAGTAACTCCTAGAAGTCTGCTTCCACACCTGTATGAGACAGAAAACAGAGACGATTAAAGCAAAAGGTAGATAACAAGCAAGCAAAGCAAACAAAAAAAGCATCAAGAGATGTCCATGTGGTGTCCACGGTGATTGCACAATATTAATCAGGATTGTATAGATCTAGTGTTTAGTATTAGTGTGTACCTGTAAACACCTAGAGCCAAATGCATGAGCATGCTGGTGTATACAGGATTCACAAAGCTTCTTCAGAAGGAAGCTCCCTCCTCAGATCAGTGAAAGCAGCAGCAGACAGAGAGCTGCAGCTCTGCAGGCTGTTACCTAATTATCTGGCATTAACTCCAAATGGAAGACTTCCCTCCCATGTCCCACACCACACGGCTACTACAGGGATAAGCTGTGTTCTTATAAACTCCCAGCCACCTGTTCAAAGGGGGGGCGCGTATACCTGACTATACTGATTACAGACGTCTGTCTGGTCAATGTTGCTCAGTTTAGCCCATTTAGACCCAATTTATTCTTCACAATATTTTGGCCAATGACCCCAAAAATAGCACCGTCCCAGACAGGCATAAATGCTTTAAATTATTCCAATCTAGATTTATATTCAAATTTAGAGCCATAATATTCATTTAATGACACTTAATTGCTTATTTGTGTATTTTATCATTACGTTGGGTCTTAGATGAATAAATAAATGTGACATCTACATTTTTCATGGTATATTTCTTTTTTTACTGGGACAGTAGCATTGTATACCTCCTGGCATACTTGCCCCCCCATATACCCCAGAGATGACATCATGATGATTGTCAAAAAGTGGTGTAGTCTGTTGTTATCCCAAACATGTTGACATAAAATATGGTGACATAAAACCTTTAGAAGTGTTCATCCAGCCAGACATGCACTGCAAACATTCAAATTAAGAAAGTCAACTTTTCTTGAAATAAATGTTTAATTTCCATTGAGTTGAGCAAGGAAGTAAGATGATTTTACAGTGGAATTAATTTATTTTTAAAGAGAGTACTAACTTATCTTAGGTGCCTCATATCTGATTGTCTTATTTTAAGGGGCAAATACTCATTTCACTTGCACATTAGGAGCAAATAATAGATTGTTTTTGCAGTGTAGTAAAGATAAGATGACTAACCCTTACATTCTCCCTCCAAGTGCTTTAAATATCAGCTCTGCAGAAGCTAATGCCAGCAATCTCCCTCTTTTCCGTCCCTGCAGGTCACTGCCAGGGGATTTGCCCCATTGTTGCAGTTCGCCTACACTGCTAAGCTGTTACTCAGCAGGGAAAACATTCAGGAGGTCATCCGCTGTGCAGAATTCCTGCGCATGCACAACCTAGAGGACTCCTGCTTTCGCTTCCTGGAAGCTCAGCTCCGCAGAGAGGAAGACAGCCTCATGCTTTGCCACAGGGGGGCGCCGGAGGCAATCAACTCGGAGGATGAGAGCATGCAGTCAGAGAACGAAAGGCCGGCCTCCCCCAGGACGCAGCATTGTGGCAACGCCTTCCCCTCTTTTCCTAACCCTGAGGATGACAGGTTGTCCAGTAATCTGACAGATGGCAGGCTGGACTTTGAGCGACATGGAGCATCAGATCTTCCACGATGCCCAAAGTACAGAAAGTATCAGTGGGCTTGTAAGAAGCACAATAACGACACCTCCTCACACACCAGTACTTTAGGTTTTCCAAGCACAATTAAGGAGAGCAGCATCAGTGGGCTTGTGCCGGGTCAGGACAGGCTGCCTGTGACACAGATAAAAGTTGAACCCAAGGGGGAGGAAGAGGCTATTTCATTGTGCCTGTCAGGAGATGAGCAGGATGCCATGGACAAGGACAGTGTGACCGCCATGGAAATGGACAACCCTGCATCTCTGGAAAGAACCAAGAGAACCAAGTCTCCTTCTTGCCTCCGAGCCTTCTTTAAGAAAGGAGTAGACCTTCCAAGTCTGTCCAACACATCCCAGCAGCTAATCACCAACAGACTGGTCTGCCCCCAGGACAAAGGAAACTCTCAGGGAGATCACAACAAAGACTTAAGGCCTTTTCCTGGGGAGCTGGATCTGTCTGCTACGTCCCCAAAGGAGGTGGATGGTTTCCCTGCAGGGTTGTCTCTGAAGTCTGCTTCCTGTGATGGCGTCTGCAGACAGGAAGCTGAACTAGACCGCCGTAGTGTCATATTCTCCTCAGGGGCCTCCAACCGCCTGGGAGCACCAGCACATTCCTACCCCGGTGGGAACTCTTTGGAAATGGAGCTCTCTGATCAGGTGGCGAAAGGACTGTGGGCGGGAGCCTGCCAGTCCCTCCCAAACTCCCAGACGTATTCTCCCAGCGCCGCTTCCTCTGAGCCCCCGGCCCTGTCCCGTCCACGGCCCAACACTAGCTGCCCAGTGCCAATCAAAGTATGCCCACGCTCGCCGCCTTGTGAGACACGCACCAGAACTTCCAGCTCCTGCTCGTCTTACTCCTACGCGGAGGACGGTAGCGGAGGCTCCCCCTGCAGCCTGCCCCAATTCGAATTCTCCTCCTCACCCTGCTCCAACGTTGCACGATGCCTGAATGTGGACCAGCAGGAGCAAAGTGTGGGAGGAGATGCTCGCTTCAACCAGGTGCGACCCAAAATCAAATGTGAGCAGTCTTACGGAACCAATTCAAGTGACGAGTCCGGCTCCTTCTCAGAGGGAGACAGCGAGTCCTGCAACGTCCAGGATCGAGGGCCAGAGGTGAGTGGCGGGAAATGTTTGTCACATGGGGTTAAATGTTGCCTTTATTCCTCTCTGGCTGACTGAGGTGGAGCAGCGTGCTCTCTGGGTCTGCATTAGCTGTAGGATTTTTCCATCCATCTTCTCCCACTTATTCCATTAGTGTTGCGGTGGAGCCTCTGTCTAAAATCAGTGTTTTCCATTCAGTGGAGGTCTGATCCTAATGAGGCTGTTTCCTCCTTAGACATTATATTTTGAATAAACACTCATTTCCATTGAGGCTAATTAGCATGCGTTACCGCCACCCTTTATCATGTGTTTTCACAGCATAACTGAGGCTAAATATCCCTTAAGATGTTAGATGGATCCAAATGTGACCCAAAGTTTACTATACTGCCTTGAATGCCTGGATCAGCGGTGTGCTTCAGTCTAAATATTTATTATTTTTGCAGCTAAAGTGATTACTTCATTAAATCCTGGCTCCACAGATTTGCACCTCAGCACATCTGTGAGCAACAGTACGGGGTTATAATCTCAGAGTTTCAGTCAGTGAGAATGAAGAATAGAGGAGGAAGCTTTTAGCTCAGTGTCATGATGGGAGGGAAACAGCTGAACTGTGCTCACAGGAATGAACAGACAATCCTCTAATCATCCAGTCTTAATCCAGCCGAGGTGACGTCCTCCAAGCCTCAGACTAGACTGTGGTTGTTTATGTGCTAAAGATCAGGGAGACTTTGCCACATAAATAATAGCACAGGTGCAGCAGCACTGAGGTCTGTGGATTTTGTCCATCAGTTGTAGTTTCTCTGCTTTTCTGAGCTTTTAGGTGAAATAAAATGTCAGAACTTCCCTATCTGGATTCTCTAAGGGCTGAAAAAAAGCGTTAATTTTCCAGTCTATGGTATTGTATTACTGTATTCACTGTATATTCTCGAGATAACGACATAACTATCTCATTATCACGGTCAAACCATCAATTGTTTTCTCGAGATAATGAGATAATTATCTTGTTATCAGGAGAAAACAGCTACTGATTTCTTGAGATAACAAGATGATTAAGTTGTGTGAATAATGAGGCTGGCCAACAGCCCTGGATTCCCAGTCCATCCATGCCTGCAGGGCCCCTAGTTGTTCAGTCACGGTACCACGTCTGCGCAAATAATCAGTTTTTTAGTTTCCTTTTTCTTTTCACTAATTGTCAGGTCGTGGTGGATGATTGGATTGGATGGAATACAGTAGAAACAGATCTGAAAATCTTTAATCTGGGCTCATTTTGGGGGCTAATGCATCTTATACCTGTTACAGGCGTAACACCATGGCTGTTCAGAAACCACCTGGAACAGTGGAAATCATTAAACCAACAATATCATCTTGTTACCTAAAAGTTAAACATGGTATTATTTACAGACTGACACATAGGCTGCCATGACTTATACTTCTAAATCCTCTCCCGCTGTTGTGGTATTAAAGGATGTAATCAGTTTTAACACACACCAATCATCTCGTTATGACCAGAAAATGGCTTTTGTTATCTTTAGATAATGAGAAAATTAACTTGCTTTCTCGAGAAAACCACCGTGAAAAAATATCGGAGGGACACGGCCGCTCTGGGCTTCCGTAGTATGGAATACAGTGTGGATCTATAATGAATTATTCATTACTAACACGGGACTCTCTGCAGTCTGCATGATATGATGACCAGTACTTGCACTGGAAAAATTATCTAGAAATGAGTAAATTCTTACATTTTGTGTATTTGCCCTTAATTTGAGCAGGTAAATGAGATTTTTACTCTTAAAATAACATAATTAGATAAAAATGCACTTGAAATTAGACAAGGCAAATTGTGTTTCCTTATTTTGAATGCACTTATTTAAAGAAAAAATGACTGATTTAGATGTTGATTTTTCCAGTGTGTGACCTTTGGCCTCCAGGAGGCTCTGCATTCCAAACTTCTTTAGTCGTCTGATTTTCATCAGTGGTGTGAAGAAATTCATTTCAGATGAGGTTTGTGAAGAGGGCTGCACAAACAGATGAGGAGTATGGGGTGAGCCGTAGGGAGAAAGTGGTCCGTTACCATGGCAATGAAATTCACAGAACACATCTGCCGCTCAGACGTGGCCTTAGACATCCCTCCATCAGGTTCACGCAGCTCTGATGAGTCACATCACCTTCTGTCCGTGAGAATCCAAAACAAAACATGACAAGGAGATATTAAACCCTTCTGTGTGGGAATGTGCTTTATTATGTGGCAGCCGCTGTACTCCTGTCAGATCTCTACTGAGACACACAGGTTATCTGCCAGCCTTCCACTCTCTGTCACAGACACTCGATAAGACTCTTTCTGAATGACTAGAGCTGCTCATTATGTGGCCAGTTACTCATAACAGCTCACACACTGTAAAAAATCTAAAGCGAAGTCTCTTTTCTTTAAAATAACTGCATTATTTTAATTAATCATTAGTTAATTGAATAAGAAGAACTTCAGAAAAAAGAAAATACAATTGCATTTTCTTATTTTAACATAAACTGTCTTGTTCCATTGCCAAAGTGTCTCTTTTACCTCATCAATTTAAGAAAAAAGTGAAATTATTCTAAGAACAAATGATTAGATTTAGATTTTTTCCAGTGTTTAAATTCAGGCAGATTTTGATATGGACCATATGGCATTCTCCCAGGGTGCCAATAGGATGGGGAGTCTGCACAAGCATCTATCAGTTGTGCCTTTCTGCTTAAAGTCGGGTCATTTTTTGCACTGCATTAACGTCGCCCCTCCTTCTCCTGTGGCAAAAGGATCTTCAAACAAGTATAAGTGAATATCTAATAAAATCCGACATGGTCTCCATGGTTCTACATAGGTTAGTGGCGTCTAACAGCAAACAACAAAGTGGGTTCAATCAAGTGTGTGAGAAGCTAAAGTAATGTAAGCTTCGGTTGACCTTACTTTAAGCTTTTTATAGGCACAGCATCATTAACTTCTCTACAAGTGAGAAATAATCACATTCTTTTAAATCATATATCTTGGAAACTAGGGGTGTGAATAGAAAAAAATGTAAACATTTCTCCCCTAAGAAAATAAATAAATCTGCTATATTTTAAGTGGTTGGAGGGTGGTTAGAGCTGGTCAATCAGGCCAGTTAGCACCTGCACTGGAATAATGCCTTAAATTACATGTATTACCCTTTAATCTGAGTAGGTCAAGGAGATAGTTTGCCAATGGAATGAGTTAAAATAATATAATTAGATAATATGCACTTGAAAAGATTTGTTCCAGTGTACAGAGGTCCTGTTCTCATCTAATGCAGATAGAAATATGCAATAGATGAGAACATTAGTCTATTTTTCATATAGAAACATGACGACAGGCTGACCTGAAAGGCCATAAAAAGATGTTCAAGCATGAAAATGCATTGCTCTGATCAGATTGTTATCAGCACAGGGTCAGGGTTAGCACACTGCAAAAAATCCAAATCTAGGTAAGTCATTTTATTTTAAATAAGTGCATTTGTTCTTGGATTGAGGAGGTAAAAGAGACATTTTGTCAATGGAACAAGACAATTTACATTTAAAATAAGAAAACAATTGCAATGTCTTATTTCAAGTGCATGTGATCTAATGATCTTATTTTAAGAGAAAAAACACTCATTCCACCAGCAAACTATCTCATTTACCTGCTCAAATTAAGGGTAAATACGCTTGATTTAAGAAAATGTTACTTATTTCTAGATCATTTTTCCAGTGCAGTATCTGTTGAGCATTAGCATTATGCTAAGGCACATTGTCTACAGCTGCATTTTGCTTTAATTGTGATCTTTTTGGTGGAAAACTGTTGTGTTAATGAAAAGTTTAGCACCTCCTTGTTAGATCAGATGTTTCTTACAGTCTCTGTGTTTTATTCTCTTCCTGTTATGATCACTTTTAACCACAGGTTTGATTGTTTTCATGCTTTCTCTTGCTTTGTTTCTGTTTAAGCCACACCAGCGTTCAGCCCTCTAATGCCAACACTGTTATTTATATCTTTGGTGATTCTCTCTCTGTGTTTTATTGCTGTTAGATGGACACTCGTCTGTCTAGGTTTGTAGCCAGTTCCTATTTAACCCTCTATAGGGCGAAATCAGTGAAATACTTAAAAAAATCCAAATTTCAAACCAACAGTGTTATTGGAATTCAGGACAAGACTTTATTACCTTTGTAACATAAAAAAAAAATATGGATATTTTGATGGCAAAAATTTATGTCAAGAAACGCCAACTTAAGAAAAATAACAAAAGTGCTTCTATAAGAAATTAAAAACGCTCAGAGTGAAAGAAACACATTTACGTTTTTTTACGGTTTTTAGTTTATGAACCTAAATAGAATTGTTAACTAGGCTTATTAACTGTTTAACTTTACTTTTGAATTAGCTTATTACCTTTTTTCTTGACTTGTTAACTTTTTTCCAACTTATATTACAGTAGGTAAATATATCATTTAAGGGCTCATCTAACTGGTCAAATGCCAAAATAAGATGAACAGCCATGTAGCAGTCTATTTGCTGAATGGCTGGATATAGATCTAGTGCTTCTAGACCTCACTGAGGGACTGACGGGGCTCCATTTGAAACGGATCAAAAATGCTAACTTGTCCTATAAAGAGTTAAAGAACTTGCATTTTTCTACAGTTGTTCCTGGTTTAAGTGTCTGCATCATTCTGGCATTACAGCATCCTAGTCCTACTAGAAATGATAGTGTTGAAGGAAATTTGACTGTTGTCAAATATCCAGCGTAGACACCAGTCAGGTTTATCTGAGGCAGCATTGGGGCTCCACCGTGCTTCGCTTTCTTTGCATCTGTCAGAGTTGTTGATTCGTATTGCTGCGTAGGTGGTGAGCTGCTCTCTGTGCGATGTCTGCCCAGAGAGCTGCAAACATGCATCTCTGAGTAAGTGAGAAAATGAGGAAGCAGCCCGCGTACATCAGTGCATTATTGACACTGTTTTAATGAAGCAAACACAATAAATAGAATGTGTGACAGCGGGTGGAAAGGACTCAATTTCAGTTCCACTAATGCTGCCAAAAGCCAAATAAACTTAGTGTAGTTTAGTTATGATGTGGCTGCGGTCGCAGGCAGATTTGTAAATTACAGCTGTGAGGCTGGTTATTAATAGTTTATGCATAGTTCATCTTCAATTCAGTTTATTTATACAGCGTCAATTCACAACATGTCATCTGAAGGAGCTTTACAGTTCACCAGATCATCCAGTCACATTGATT